TAAACCTCTTCTAAGTCAAAATACAAATCAATCCTTGCGAATCCCCTCCAATCCTCTTGGGGAGAGGATTAACCGAACAAAGCCTCATTGGGGTCACACAGCACCGCCTACGTGGCCGGGATCGCTGCTCACGTGGCCGGGATCCACTGCTAAGGAAGCCAAGCTATGAGGATCCTGGAGGCGGACCTGAAGCAGGGCAGATCGATCTGGGCTGGACGGAGATGGAGGAGAGGTGGGGCTGCGCGCGAGAGGGGCCTGCCGCCGCTGTCAGGTAGGCTAGCGACGGCGGCGGCGAGGGGATCTGGCTAGGAGAGGACTCGGCAGGGTTGCAGTGGGGACGCCTCGGAATCGCAAGCTAACTAGTGGTATTTGTAATCTAATCATTTTGTTTTCACAAAAATGAGAAAGATCTTTCCCCACTAACCATCGTTTTCTTTTACTCTGCATGTTTTAATCGCTATTATTATTTTCAACTTCAAGCACAACTCCACTGCCAACAACAAATTTCGACTGGAAGAAAGAGTTCCATTGACAAATGTTTCCTCAAGTTTAATCCATGTCAATGATAAATATGTTTTCATACTGGCCCCTGTACTTATTCAACGGAATTTTTTGTGCTCTAGTGATACTTTCCTGCTTAGATTAATGAACTACAGAGATAGTATCAGTTGTAAAGAATTTTATCTTTTGAAACAGAAGGTTCTTTTGCACTGCACACTTCACAGTCTATGTTTTCCTTTCAAACAGAAGAAAGAGGTACAATTTAGAACTGCAGAACAGTTTACTACTGCAGAATAGTTTTGTTCATAAAGAAACAGTTCTCTATTCAAACAGACGAATACCTTTCTCGATCTGTTGGCTAAGATCAGTGTAGTATCTGTTCTTATCAGTTTAATATTTGATACCTGAATCTTTGGATCCACATGATATTAATTTTTTTTATGGGAAGAATCTATCTATGTAGCTTGCTAAATGGATGGTTCTTATGCGTCGTTCAAGCGTTGCACTGCTGCTTGGAACAGCCACACCCCCCATTTAAATAGACGAAAAACCCCAGAAAGAAGCGAACAGAAACACTGAGTTATCTGCTCGCTCGTGAAACAGTAGAAACAGAAAACGGCCCAGAAAGCCCGCCAAGTGGAGGCTCTGTGCGGAACACCAGCAATTTGACGCAGGGGCGTCATATAGGACCTCCCCGGTACAACATCCAGAGCCCACTCGCCGTTAGTCAGCGAAGCTTGCTTATCTTTCATTCATTGGTGATAGTAACTCCATGCTAACTCCTAAAAAACGGGGCTAAAGGGGGGGATAATACCTCCCTTAACTTTCCGCTGTTTGGTACGAGTGAGACCTCTCCACAAATAAACAAATGCACGGGCATGTTCAACAACATGAACTCCTGCCACTGAGCTAACTCGGCTCTATTTTCAACAAGAGCCATGTGTAGAGCTATTCTACCACAAGAATTGAAATAGTAGCACCAGTCTAGCTAGATTGTGAGAATTGCATGCAGGTATAGGTGAAAACATACCTTCCGCGGCATGATGACTAATATTTCAATGAAGTCCCGGTAAGATACGAAGCTCGAGATGTTAATCTAACCCATCTAGCTAGCTGCACCTCCTGATGGTTTTTCTGATTATTTTGTTAACACCTGGTAGTTATCAGCAGAGCGCGTAGGAGTTAGTTAGGTTTTGTGGATGAACAATCATGGTCGGTCGACGCATCATCAATGCACTTCTATTTTTGGAAACAAATTAGACAGCTAGCAATTAGATAAGAATATTTAAAATCATACAGTACTAGCAGTAGTACGCACCTTGACACACCGATTTTGTGTGCTGATGACGAATGATAGAAGAATTGGTATATAGTACATATGTATTTCTGTCGGCAGTTTACTGGAAAATGGGTAGTGGTACAACAGATGTTAACATGAGGTGATATGTAGAAAGATCAATGAAGGAATGAATGGGGGGATATTGAAGAGCCACCATGCCTGGCCTGACTAGGGAAGCTCCAGATGCCAATCTACCCCATAGATCGATCTGCACATCCAGATGAATTATTTTTATTTTGCTAGCTGATATCACCTACATACGTAGTCACAAGAAGAGCGCAGGGATTAGTTATGTTTGTGCATGCATGAATAAACATTGTCAGTTGGTGCATAATATACTTCTAGTAGCAAGCAATCGACACAAGATAGATATATATAGAAGAAGAATTACTCATATATATGTTGTATTAGTGTTAATAGTACCTAAATTTGCAGGTGCAGACACCGCTTCATCGGGCCAGAAGAAATTGAAGAGGTAATACGAAGGAGGAGCAATGAAGGAATGAATGGGGATACTGGAGGGCAATTGTGGCTAACTAGTTGCAGTGCAGGGCTTGTGTAGGTACGCTTGGCTTAATTTGCTTTTCCCAAAGCTAGCTGCAGGTTCTTTGCTTGCTGTTTGAGCAAAGCAAAAAAGCAAAGATGGATTCCTCCTAGCTTTTCCTTTCTCTTTGAATTGAATAAAGCAAAGCGACCTTGGACCAGATTCCTAATGCAAATCATGACTAGTACAACGCCAACAGCTCACTGGTAATTAAGAAAGGCGACGTGTCAATGGATCCTGTTTGGGAGATTCTCTGGAAACTGAATGTTCCTAGCAAAGTGAAATTTTTTGGCTGTAAGGTGCTACATGGGATGATACCGGGTATGGCAGTACTCGCAAACCGACATATCCCGGTCTCGGGACAATGTCCGGTTTGTAAAAAAGGAGCTGAAGATTTGAAGCATCTTATGTTCACTTGTAACCGAGCTAGAGCTGTTTGGGGGGCTATGGGAATTCGTGAGATAGTTGAAGTTGCAGAAGAAGAAGACCGATCTGGCAGTATCCACTAGTAGAAAAAGGGTCATACGTAAAGCCCAATAGTGCCGGTTTGTATTAGAGCCGGCACTAATGTGTACAATAGCACCGGTTCGTGGCGAACCTTTAGTACCGGTTCATGCCACGAACCGGTACTAAAGGGGATGTGTCAGCCTGCGGTCAGGCTATGGCCCCACCATCACCATTTAGTGCCGGTTCGTACCACGAACCGGTACTAATGAGGCTATGGCAAGCTGTTTTTAGTCCCACCTCGCTCCCATAACAAGCCTTTTACCACCTTAAATATGTTATTTCTCAAACTATCACAAGCACTTGGTCTTCATTGAACTCTATGTGTAGAATTTGTGGCCGCAATATGAGTCTTCATCGGTTTATAAATCGTTGATGACTCATATTGACAATTCAGATTATACACACAAAGATCATTGATGATCAAAGTATTTTTGATGTTATCATCATTTCACCCACATAGATTGTTCAAAAAAGTAGAGAGGGTTACGGCAAAAAATGGATGCACTTCGTTTACAAACTGGACAATCTCTTTCGAAGTATTCAGGTTTCTGACGAAATTAAACTCATCTGTTACAAAGGCATTTCAAAGTATTTTTGATGTTATCATCATTTCACCCACATAGATTGTTCAAAAAAGTAGAGAGGGTTACGGCAAAAAATGGATGCACTTCATTTACAAACTGGACAATCTCTTTCGAAGTATTCAGGTTTCTGACGAAATTAAACTCATCTGTTACAAAGGCATTTCATTTTTTAAAACTTATTACAACTTCAGACTTTTTGTGCGTTCAGTATGCACCATTCAAAGCGACGCCATCAACTTTCAACCATTTCTGCCTTCATTTGCTATTTTTCATGCATTCAATGATTTGTTTTGAGAACTAAATGACCTGGAAATTGAAAAGCACTACAAATGAACTCTGAAAAAGTTGAAACTTGGCATGGTATCATCATTTCACCCACATAGATTGTTTAAAAAAAAGTAGAGAGGGTTACGGCAAAAACTGGATGCACTTCGTTTACAAACTGGACAATCTCTTTCGAAGTATTCAGGTTTCTACGAAATTAAACTCATCTGTTACAAAGACATTTCATTTTTTAAACTTATTACAACTCCAGACTTTTTGTGCATTCAGTATGCATCATTCAAAGCGACGCCATCAACTTTCAACCATTTCTGCCTTCATTTGATATTTTTCATGCATTTAATGATTTGTTTTGAGCTAAATGACACTAATTAAATTTTGTGCAGGCAGCGCACCACCTTTAGTACCGGTTGGTGGCTCCAACCGGTACTAAAGGGTAAGCTGTTTTTTAGTCCCACCTCGCCAAGAGAGAGGGAGTAGGAGCGGTTTATAAGCCCTGGGTACAGAGACGATGAAAAAGAGGCTCAATGCTCACGTTGCTTAGCTTCAAGCCTTTAGGAATATGGTAGATTGCACGGAGCTACGCGCAGTGCAGTTTACACTATTCCAAAAGGCTTGAAGCAAATTAACGAGCATTGCACCTCTTTTTTATTTTTAATAACTTATTACAACTCCGGACTTCTTCTGTTATGGCAAAAGGAAGGAGGAGAAGAAGAAGAAGAAGAGGAAGAAGAAGAAGAAGAAGAGGAGGAGGAAGAAGGAGAAGAAGGAGAAGAGGAAGAAGAAGGAGAAGAAGAAGAAGAAGAGGAAGAAGAAGGA